CCCCGCCTCGCCCCGCCCCGCCCCGCCTCCGCACTCACCCCGGCTGAGCCGCGCCCCCCGGGAAGTGGCAGCGCCAGTGGAAGGCCGCGGCGCAGTGCGCGCACCGCAGCGCGTCCGTGCCGTCCGCGCACACTCCGCACCTCGCGCCCGGCGCAGGGCCCTGTGGGGCACAGCCCAGGTGACCCGAGCGCGGACCGCAGGAGCAGCGCTGCCGGGCCGCAGGTTCAGACCCGGGCACCCGGGCACCTGGGCATGGGCCAGGAGCACAGGCCCCGGATTGTGTTGCCCAGACGAGGCAGGCGGGTTCCGGTCTGGCTGGACCCTTCCCAGCTTTACATCCCGCCTCGGGGCTGGGGCCGGGGCTTGGGGCAGAGGGAGAATGCTGGCCTGGGGGCGCCGTCCAGGAACCCCACTGTAGCTACCCACGCGAAGGCGCGCACATGCGACTCTCCCTTTTCCAGTTTGTGCCACCCTGAGGCCCCGAGGCCCCAGAACAGCGCCCCACCGACCTGACCCCCGGCGGCTCACCTGCTGCCCCTCAGGAACGGCACTCAGCAGCGGGCGCAGGGCCCCGGGGTCCAGCACGGGCAGGGGGCCTGCGGCAGGCGGGGCCAGCAGGTGCGAGTAGGAGAGACTAGGATCCGAGGGGGGCTCCCTGGGCAGGGCCCGCACGTCCTCGCCGGAGGCCCGGGGCCCCTGGGGAACCTGGAACCCAGAGCCGCCCTCAGAGGGCCCCAGGGACGCGCGGAGCTCGGGGTGGGGAAGGGCAGGTCTGGGAAAGGGCGGGATGCAGGGCCGGGCCGGGCGCCCCTTTCTGCAGCTCGGGGCTGTGGCCTCGGGGCTCTCAAAGCAAACACTGGGTATAGAGCAGGGCGAGTCACAAGCAGAGACACCCAGATCTCTAGCGGTGGTCACAGCCCATCGCTGTGCCGGGGCGAGGGCCTACCCGGGTCTCTGCAGGTGGCTCTGGAGGCCGGGGCTCCGGGGCCTGAGCCAGGCCCTGCTGGCCTCTCCCCTGCAGGCAGCACGAGCACCTCCAGGTGCCGCTGCTCACGTCGTCACCGGTCACAGGCATGCAGGGCAAAGGAGACCATAGACCCCAGACCCACAAAGCAGGGGAGACCCGGGGGCTCCTCCGTGTCACCATTTCCTTCATAGATGGGGAAACTGAGGCCCAGGCAGGGGACGAGCTGGGCCACCAGGGCCAATGAACAGGAGAGCCCAGGATGAGGGAGTTACCCCTGGGGGGGGTGCACCTCCATGGCCGCTCTTCCCAGCCTTGGGGGAGATCCCAGGCCCCACCCAACTGTGGGGCCCTTAGGGTCCAGCGCCTCCTGGGCAGCGGCAGCTGCGGGTGACTGGTGCGCTCACCTGGGGATCTCCCGCAGGGGCGGGGACAGGCAGGCCAGGTGGAAGGCCCGGGGGCAGCCGTCGCAGCAGATGAGCTCCCCGCCATCACGGCACACGGCACACTCGTCCTCGTTCTTCTGACCGGGAGACGGGAGCCCATGCAGACCCGGCAGCGCCCCCTGCAGGCCCAGGCCTGACCGGCCCTCCGGACACTGAGGCCAGGCCAGCCCCGAGGAGCGCTAGCTGCAAGGTGTTTCCTATCAGCCCCAGGCACCTGCTATGGCTCCCCGAGGGCCCCACTCCTTCCGCGCCTCTACCCAGATGGTGTCTGCCGAGCTCTCCGGGTCCCCAGGCTACCAGGTTGGGCAAGTGCTGAGCAGGGCAAGCGGAGTGTCCTGGGCCCCTCCAGCCCCGGCCCCGGGAGAGGCGCTCAGTACAATCTGGACCCAACTCTGGTTTGAAATCCCGGGAAAACCTCACTTTGTCCACTTACTTAAAATTTCACAATTGTGCTTTATCAGAGAAAAACAATTGCCAGGGAGGAAGAGGAGGAGCAGTGAGGGGCGGGGCAGGAGCGCAAGGCCCACTCCGGGCCCGGGCAGGGAGTTACCTGGTGGAGCTGGGGATCGCTGGCAAGGGCTGCATTGACGGGGACCCTGGGCTGCTGGCCGACCCGGGGCTCTCCTTCACCCTGGTCAGCAGTGGGGGACCGTGAGGGGAGCATTGTTGCCCTGGGCCAGGGGCCTCCCGGGTGTGGGTCAGGCCAGCACTTACAGGGACAGAAGCCTGGGCTCCCTTGGCCCGGACTAGGGGCTTCAGGCCCCCGCCACTGCCTCGGGTCTTGTTCTTGCCTCCACCAGGGTCTTCAAACTTGCTGGGGGTGTAAAACTCCCCCCCCACCTGGATGCACTTCTTGGAGCCCCCTGGGAGGAGATGTCGGGGGACATCCTGGGCTCCCCACGCCTGCAGCCCTGCCAGGCTCGGTGGGGCCATCAGGCAGAGGTAATCTGCATTTCCTAACCACCCCCAACACTGCAGCCAAGGGTGGGCCCAGTGCTGGGTGCAGGGAGAGATTCTACCAAGCTGCAGGTGTTCGCAACCCCTGTTCCCCAGAGCCTCGGGGCAGGAATTATTTGGAAATAGGGTCTGTGAGATGTAACTGGCTCGGGTGAAGTCTGGACCCTAAGTCCAGTGACTCGTGTCCGTACGAAAGAGGAGAGGATGAAGAGGGACAGCCACACAGCCGTGGTGCAGAATAAGCGGCGGCACAGGACCCCGGAGGAGCAGGAAGGAGGGAGGGAGGTCCCCTGCCCAGGCTCGCTTCGGGATCTGCCGCTGTTCACCTCAGTCTGTGGCAGCTGCTGTGGCAGCCCCAGCACACCCCCGCAGGGTCCTCGGGTCCAGGGTCCCTCTGTGCTTAGGGGACCCTGGGGCCAACACTGTCCTTGGCATCCCCAGCCCAGGGCCAGCACAGAGGAGACACTGTGGCAGGAGAGGCGTGGTGCCTGGGCCACCAGCAGGCCTGCTGTCTCCGGTCGGAAAGGCTGGTGACTGCTCATGGCCAGCAGGGTCACCTCCCCAGGCCAGGGTGCAAGGGACCAGATAGGAGCCGCGTGGGGAGGGGAGGGGTGCAGTGGGGTGTGGCCCTGAGGTCAGAGCACACTGGCAGGACTTCCTCAGGCTGGAACCCAGGACCAGCAGGACACTGGCTGCCCCGCTGGGACCCTGCCTGCTCTGGGGCCACGAGGGATCAAACCAGACAGGGTCCTGCTTCCACTCGGGGGCAGCGGTCCCCACCCTGTGCGCCCACCTGACTCCAACACCTGCTGGATGAGGATGCCCTCCACGGCCCCACGGGCTCCAGGCACGTCCCCCGAGGACACGGCCACTGCCCTCTGGACCGAAGCTGACATGGCCTGAATTCCTGGAGAAGGGCTGGGGTCATGGGGTGGGAAGAGGGCTCCTGCTCCTACTCCACAGGGGTAGCCAGGCAGAAGCCGGCAGGTGTGGGCAGGGCCTGGCCAAGGACCCCTCTCTCCTGCCAGGTGGGAGACCCAGCCCCACCCTGGAAGACACCTTGCGGTGAGGCCAGAGGGGCGCCATGCATGTGTGTGTCCCTGTGCACAGGAACTGTGTGTGTATGCACATGCGTGTGCCCAAGTGACCTGGCCCCAGTGTTGTGCTGGGGGGGGGCACAGAGTTCCCAGCACTGGGTCACCCCGGGGAGCACAGGTCTGCTCAGGTGCCTCGGGAAGGGGAGGGGACAGAAATGGAGCAGCAGGCGCAAGGTCTGGGCCTAGGAGGACGGCAGCAGGTGCAGGGTCTCGGGTCAGAGCAAGGCTGTGTGGGGATGGCCGAAGTGGGACCGGGCAGCCCCTCTTCCCCAGGCCTGGGCTGCCCTGGAGGCTGAGGAGAGCCGGGTCACGACAGACCCCTGCGCAGCAGGCCCTGCAGCCCGAAGCCGGGACCCTCACTCACCATTCCCCATGGGGAGGCGCTTAGGCTCCAAGTGGCCCTCCGGCTTCTTGAGGGCCTTGACCCTTGGCTGGGAGCCTGCAAAGGGGTGCTGGGGTAATCTGGCTGGAGAGCACTGGTGCGGTGGGTGCTGGGGCTCTGGGCTCCCTGGGGGTCCCAGTGGATCCCTTTGCCGCTGGGATCTGGAACCCCGGCCACCTGGGCTCCTGGGCCGCCTGGGCGCTGGGCAGCTGGGCGGGAGAGGCAGGAGCCTGGCCCAGCCCGTGGGCCTCAGCATCGAGGGGTGTTGGGGGGCTGTGACCTGGCGGGCTCCTCCTGCTGGTACCTGGGCTCAGGGTGCCCCTCGGGGTCAGGGCTGCCAGCGGGGTGGCCCGGGGCTCCTCCAGGGCCCTCCTCTTGGTGGGGTGTCTGGGAGGCAGTGCGGGAGTCTTGGGGCCACTGGGGGGCTTCTTCCCCTTCCGGGGCTGGCTGAGGTCCACATCTGCAGGGCACTGGTTCCGACTCAGAGCCTTCCCCGGGGCAGGGTGGGCAGGCCCAGAACTCGACACCCTCGGATCAGGTGGGTGAGGCCTCTCTCTGTCCCTCGGGGCCTCCCCAAACACCTCCCACCCCACTCACCTCTGGGGAAGCCGTCCAGGATGGGCCGCAGCCCACCGTACCGCTCCAGGTTGTAGTCCTTGAAGAGGACCCTCCAGAAGCCCGCGATTGCCGCCGAGTCCCGGGTCAGCAGCCAGGACAGGAGGGCATGGAAGGCCTGGGGACAGCCCTCCTTCTCCTTCAGCCGCAGCGTCTCCTGTGGTAACAGCTGTGTGGGGGCCTGCCGCCCCCCTCGGGCGAGAGGCAGCCCAGCCCTGGCCCGGAAGTGTCCCTCCCCGGCTCTGGGGTGGGCTGGGGGGCTGGCACAAAGCGTTGGGGGGGAGCGTCCCGGGTTCAGGTAAGGGGGGGCGCTGGGGCTGGCACGTGGGCGGGGGTGGGGTGGCCCGGGGGAGGGGGCTGGGAGGTGCCCACCTGGAATGACCTTCAGGGGACTACCTCTAGCGTGTAGGAGAGGAGCGGGGAGGCTGGGAGAACCCGGGGCCCGGGGACCCCAGGGAACCGGCCCTGGCTCCACCCCCTAGCACGCGCGTGGGGTCGGGGATCAGGGGTCCACCTGAAACTTGTCCTCGGGGACGACGTCGTGGTCGGCCAGCGAGTGCAGCAGCGGGAAGGCGCTGTCCACGGCCACCGCGATCTCCGTGCGGTGCAGCTTTAGCAGGCGGCGCAGCGCCGCGTCCCCGCCCGCCCGGGCCTCGCCGGCCATGGCGTCACCCGGGGTCCCCGCGCGGGGCAGCTGCGCCCCCTGCCGGCTGCGACGGGTGCAAGGCGAGCGCACCTGGCGGGCCCCGGGCACCGCCGCGCCGGCTGTTATACTGCCCGGCCCAGGAAAGAGCAAAGGCCGCTGGCCCCGGAGCCAATCAGAGCCGGAGCTCCCGAAGACGGAGTGGAACCGCTGGGGACCTGGTGAAGAATGTCCCTCGCAAGAAGCTCCGGACCGCTGCTGCCCCCCCCGGGAAGGGGAAAGCCAGCTCCTGGGCTCCACGCTGCTCCTGGCACCCGGATGCACTGGCACCTGGTGGCGCTAAAGAAGCATGCCTGGGGGCTGGGTGGGGCAGTGGTCCCTGGGGGACCTGCATATTGCTGTGGGGTCCCCACCTGGTGTCCAGGAACCGAGGCCCTGTCAGAGGGGGAGCTGTGGCAGCTACGCAGCTGATCCAGGCATACACTGGGCAAGGGCCCCAGTCCAGGTACTTAGGCAGGAGGCCACGCCGAGGGCGGCCGACGCCACTCAAGGCACCCTGGTCCCCTCGTCTACATGGGGCCACCCTGGGGAGCCTGGCGAGGGAGGGAAGGGCAAGGTGGTGGCACTTGGAGGAACGGCGCCCCTCGGCCGTTGGGCTGGAGGGCAGCTGGGCAGAGGCTGTTGGGTGGGTGCAGGCTCAGACAGCATCCGGCTGGCCCTGCAAGCCTGGCCTGGGGGGCTTAGGGTCAAGGCTGTGTAGGAGGGGACCTGGCCCTGGTGCACAGGGCCTCAGAGTGGACACAGGTGTCAGGAGGCCTGGCTAGGACAGCAGGGCACAGGCAAGGGGCTGTCCCCAGGCCGGACAGGTGGCCGACTCAGGTAGGGCATCACCAGGGTCTCAGGCTAAGGGGGACATCTCGTGAGGGGCAGGTGTGGCCTCCTGACCAGGTCACCTGGTGGTGTTCTTCTGCCACCCCAGGCCCCAGATCCCCGAGTCCTCAAGGGCCCTGGGGGCTTCTGGGAACCAGACAGGAGGGGGGTCAGCCTGGGGAGCAGGTGTCGGGGAGTTGGGCAGCTGCGGGGGGACCTGGTATCATCTCAGAGTGGGGCGAGTGTGGTTATCAGGAAGGTGGGGTGGTGCACGCCTGTAATCCCAGCACTCAGGAGGCTGAGGCAGGAAGCTGCTGCTGGCTTCCCCTGTCTCTGCTGTGTGTCTGCCGCAGAAACCTTACAGAAGGCGGAAGTCATGGTCCACAGACCTGGTCCTGCCTGTTCTAAAATGTTCTGTGTGAGCCAGGTTGCACCACAGGCGGAGCTCACTCACTGCCCGGGGCTCCAGAAGTCACACATAGTGGCACTCGGCTCAGGGACCTGATGTGTGTGCAGCTGTGGGACGAACAGGGGCTCTGGCTCACTGTGGCTCAGCCTCCCCTCCTGCGACATCAGCACACTCTTTTCCTTCAATGTCGGTGTTTATTAGTCCATGTTTGCAGTTGTGGGTTCCGTTCCTGGTCCGGAGTTGGTTCACATACATAATGCGTCTTCATTCTTTTACCGGCCTCTTCCCTAGCTAGTTTTGTGTTTTGAATCATGTAACTGATATATTTTGGTCCTGTGTTTGTCCCATGCTTTCTTCCTAATCGGGGTTTTATTACTCAAAGTCCTTTTGGGGGGTAGTATTGGAGGTGGAACCCAGGGCGCTCCGACACTAAGCTGCATCCCCAGCCCTTTTTATTTTTTATTTTGAGACAGGGTCTCACAGAGTTGCCCAGGCTGGGCTCAGACCTGTGATCTTCCCACTTCAGTACCCCAACAAGCTGGAATTACAGATGTGGGCCATCGTGCCTGGCCAGCCAGGCCTTTTAATGGAACCGTTGACTTTCTCCATGTATTATATGAATAGTGGTTTACCTTGCTTTGTTTGCTACATATTTTCACTTACAGTTTCTTATCCTTTTTCTTGTGTTTGCTGGTTTAATAGGTTATGTTGGATCCCTCTTTTTAAAAATCCTTAATACTTTGGAAATTCTCTACATTTCCATTACAGTAATGATTACCTTTTGTCTATACTCACAATTAGAAGCATTTGTGTGCCATTTGTTGTTTTAAAACACAGTGCCGGTGAAAACCCTCACAGCTGGACTTTGCTCGGAGGCGTCCTCCACCTCTTCAGCCCCTTCCTCAGCGCCACCTCCCAATGTCATGCCCAGCAGCCTGGGGCTTTCTCTCCCCAAACGGGACTCTCAGGCAGAAGTAACCGGTAAAGGGGAATTAAAAACTGCCCAGCAAGATCAGAGTCTGCATCCTGCTTTTTAAAAGCCCCATCCTCTCAGGTGCACCCGTGTCACCACCTGGGCCCGACCGTTGTGGGCAGGCGTCACCGGCCTCCCTCCAGAGGCCAACAGAGGCCCTGTAGAGTTGTGGACTTTCCCACACCCTGTGGGGGTTTCCGCTGCAGCCCGAGCCTGTGGTGGCCTGGGGCTGCGGGGTGAGGCCTGGGGGATTGAGGTTGGGGTCCGGGCTCCGCCTCTGTGCTGCAGCCTCAGTGCCCCCACACATTGGAGGTGGGGGATCCAGCAGGAGGGGCCGGGTGCCCCCCTGTGCTGTCCCACCCAGACTGGAGAGCAAAGGAGGTCGTGGCTGGTTGGGCTGGCAGGGAAGCATCTGCCCTCTGGGGGAGGGACTGGATGGAAGCCACCCAGCATCCGCCCGAGGGCAGGGTGGAGGCCGGACACACTTCTGCCTGGTTTAATCCGCACACTGACACTGGCTTGGAGTTCTGTGCTATGCATACTTCATGTTTATGTTAAAGTAGGAGAAATACAGAGTCCACCAAAAAAAAGTATATGCACTGCAGGAAAAGAAAAACCTGTGTAAATATTTTAATACTAAATTATTGAGTCATCATGAGATAAATAAAGTTGCGTTTGGCCTCTACAATGACAAGAGCTGCCCAAAGTGGCCAAGAGTGGTGGCGCACAACTGTGATCCCAGCACTCAGGAGGCTGAGGCAGGAGGATCACTGGGAGTTCAATGCCAGCCGAGGCCACACAGTGCATTCAAGGCCAGCCTGGACTACATAGTGAGGCCCTGTCTCAAAACACACACACACACCACACACACCACACACACACTCACGCGTGCACGCGCATATGCTGCTTGCACTTAAGGTGCTCAAAGTGGTAGCCTTTAGCTTGCAACACTTATTAGCACAGCGAGCTGCCACTTGGGTGACCTTGCTCACTGAGATTGCTGCTCATGCATTTTCAGTCTATTCTCCAAGGGCTGGCAGTGCAGTTTCTGAGATATGTGACATCCCCTAGGGTCCCCCATCTGAGGGTAACACCATCTGCTGAGAAAACACATGCTATTTTTCTTTTCCTGAAGTGTGTATACATTTTTTGGCATATGTTCACAATAGCAATCAAAATATCAAGCAAACAAGAACAAAGTTAAAAGGAAATCTGCAGCAGGTCTTCAGAGAGGGCCGCGTGTCCTGGGCCCCGCTGCTCCCCCGCTTCCCTGGCTCCGGCCCACCTGAAGGCCCATAGAAGGCTGGGAGTCCACACCCGTGGGGGGCTCACTGGCGTGCCCAGAGGGCCGGGCGCAAAACCAGCAGAAACTCTCTACGGCCCCTAACTTTCAAAGGGAAACTTTTGCTGCCCTGAGCTTTCTAGACATAAAGAGGTTGCTGGGTGTGATAGAGTTAGAAAAGCACATCCTGTAAACACCATGCATTAAAAAAATAATGACAGAAAAGAAAAGTCCTCCCGAAGTGACTTTGAAATGGAGTGAGTTAGATGAGACGGGAGAGATGAAAGACAGGCGGAAGGAAACAAGGCAGTTATAACTCAAAATTGTACTTTTTAATTTTTGTTTTCGTTTTTTTGAGACAGGGTCTCATGATGCAGCTCAGGCTGGCCTTTAATTCACTATGTAGCCCAGGCCGGCCTCTGACTCTCGGTGATCCTCCTGCCTCAGCCTCCTGCCTGCTGGGATTACAGGTGTGTACCACCACGCCCGGCAAAACTGTACTTTGAAGAAGACTGTGACTTCTTCAACCCAATGGAAGACACCCAGCCCACAGGATTCCCTGGTCAAATCGAGGCTCCCTTTCCTGCAGACCCACCACACTGGCCTCCACTCTGCCCTCGGAGGGACGCTGGGTGGCCTCGATCCCTGCCCCCTCCCGTAGGGCAGCTGCTTCTCTGACCGCCCGACCGGGCCACGGCCGTTGCAGCATGGGAGCTGTGGGCACACCGGCCCCTTGGGCAAGGATGGGGTCGCCATGCACGGGAGGAGCCCGAAGCCTCTTAGAAGACCCAGCCCCAACCCCACCGAGGCCTCAGCCCCGCAGCCCAGGTCAGCAGGCCGACGAGGAGTCCATCAGTTGGCTTCAGGAGAAAGGAAAGAGCAGGACCCCGATTCTCGCACAGAGGAAGGGGTGGAGGGGGTCCAGGACCCTCACATTGTTCATCCCGAGCCTCTGACCGAGGACACGGAGGACAGCTGCCCCGAGGTTCAGGGTGTGGAGGATGCAGAGAGGAGGGAGAGGAGAAGGCTGGGGTCGGGCCGGTGACCCGAAGGAGACGTTCTTGCTGTCAGCCGTGTGTGGTGTGTGCGATTTATTCTCCGTTCATATATACAGTGAACCTTGGTCTGCAGCATAATTTGTTCCAGAAACTTGCTTGTACAGTGGACCCTGACTTAGGAACTCAATTCATTCCCGAGGGCTGGTTGTAACTCAGGTTGGGCAGTGAAGGCTCAGGAGCCTCTACAGCCTTCACAGTCTCTCTCCTGCACACAGGCAGATCTCAGCGTCCTTAGAGAGACACCGACCCAGGATATCTCAGTGAACCCCACACAGGAGAGGATGCTGTCATGTTCCTTCCAGAGCTCTTTAAGGTTAAATCTGTATCTAAGACCATGTGGAAGCAGCAGGCATTTGAGTTGTAACTCAAGACCTTGGTCATAAGTTAAAACTAAAGTTCCAGCCATGACCCAAGTTGTTTGTATGTCAGGCTGGTCATAACTTCAGCGTCCAATGTAATCCAAAGCACTTGTATACCAAAGTGAATTTCCCCATAAGAAACAATGGAGACTCAAAATATTCATATAAAAATGATTAGAAAGCCAGGTGTGATGGCACAAGTCAGTAATCCCAGCACTTGGGAGGCTGAGGCAGGAGGATTGCTTTGAGTTCAAGCCCAGCCTGGGACACATAGTGAGACCCCCTCTCTCCCTCCCCCAATGCCATAATATAATATAAAGAAAAATAAACTTTTGAAAACCTTTCTGGCTGGGGTAGGGAGGCCAGAGAGGGAG